GTAGGGGGTTATTTGAAAAAAAACCCCAGAGATTACAGCTGTAAACCCAGCTCCCCAGACTTCATCGATTTCTCTGCAAGCCATCGCTCACCCCCCCTTCGAAATCGACCAAATCCACCCCTCGATTTCGCTCAGGCCATCGCTCAGGCCAACCCACCGCCTCTCCCCAAATCCTCCCTCTCTGCCTCTCCCCCTTCGATTTCGCTCAGGCCATCGCTCAGGCCAACCCACCGCCTCTCCCCAAATCCTCCCTCTCTGCCTCTCCCCCTTCGATTTCGCTCAGGCCATCGCTCAAGCCAACCCACCGCCTCTCCCCAAATCCTCCCTCTCCGCCTCTCCCCCTTCGATTTCGCTCAGGCCATCGCTCAGGCCAACCCACCGCCTCTCCCCAAATCTCCGCCTCTCCCCAGAAACCCCCCCCCCTTCGAAATCGACCCCAGATCTCTCACCAAATCGACCCCAGATTTCGCTCAGGCCAACCCACCGCCGCCGCTCGGACTGAGAAATCGGCGACCGCCGCCGCACGTTTCATCTCGTGAGGCCAACCCCGACTCCCCCTTTCGATCTCTCTTGACAGGTAAAATTTCAAATTCTCCTCTCTCGACCGCCCTCCTTTCTTCTTACTGTAATGTTCTGTAAATTCTAACATTTACTGTTAAATTTTGAAATATTTGTTCTAGGGTTTAATCGAGACAGAAAGGTGGGGTAAGGGTGTTGGGATCTACCTTCTGTACTTGACGCCGGCATTGAGTTTGACAGCGGCGATCATCCATCCTCACCGCAGCCCTCTTTGATTTAGGTAATGTCCTAAATTTTGAGAATTTGATTCAAATATTGAGAATTTGTGCTGAAAGTATGTGTATCGTGGCGGTGGGAATTGCCTTTATTTTTTTACAGTTCATATTTCTTTGATTTTCAGAACCATGAAGCAATGTCACTCTTTCTCGTTCTGTAGATATTTACCATTTTAGAATAAAATTAAATATTTTGCTAATAGATATACTCACTACAGTAATGGGGTAATGCAGTAATGTATATGCTAAAATCTCGATGTTTCTTAAGCAAATAACGACACTCTTAAAAACAGCATGTTTATATAATCTCGATGGTAATTTTGGTAAAATATAGAACTGGATCTAGACAGTGAGACGGACATGAGATGGTTAATTGCATTACAGAGAACAAAAGTTGGCATTATAGAGAAATAAAACATGTTACAAACTTCTTATTCAAGGAACTTTTGAATGTTCCATCAGTGTAGCTGATATGAAGTCAGGTTGCCTGAGATCTCCCAATACCCTAAAGGGTCTTAGCAAATGACAAAGATATAACTTCATGCAGATCAACATCCAAACATGAAAAGGAAGCGAGTGCCTAACGTCGGTAAGGCGTGCTTTTAATGCTCAGTTTTGGGCTTACCAGTATTGTGCTTTAATTTTACCAGGTTTAATTAAAGCAAATTCATAAAGTATATGCTACTGCATGTTTGCAAATTATATGACAAAAAACACAATTACATCTTGTGATTGTAGCTATTTCCAGAGTCATGCAAAATCAAATGGATGTGATTTTATTCTTCCCTCAGTGGTAGCAATTACTTCTCGAATTTGGACTTATAATTTCTCTTAATTCCACAAAGAAATTAAGAGAGTTTTTACTGTGATTTTGCTTCAAACCATAATTTTTTAGGTGGTCCATGGCAAGAAAGAGTTTTTACATTGTGAAGAGAGGTCGCCGATGTGGAATTTATAATAATTGGGAGGACTGTAAAATGCAAGTTGATAAATTCCCAAATGCCGCATATAAAGGGTATGCAACGTACGAAGAGGCTTTGGTTGAATGGGATAAGCACGGCATCGCTTGTGATTCAGCATCCAGTACAGGGCATGTCCAAACACCTTTTTTGTCCCGACACCTGATTCTGCATCGAGCTCAAGAACTACTATTTCCCCATCTATGCTTTTGCATTAGGTTCAGTGTTTACAATATTAGTGTTTGTAATATGTATCGTTGTCGTATTTATTTTTTTCTCTCTTGCAAAAAATATGTGATTGTAAGAACTTATGTATCGAGTAACTTATGTGATTGTGAGATTGTGAGAACTTATGTATCTTGTGAGAACTTATGTGATTGTGAGAACTTATGTCATGTTTGATAGAAACTTATGTATCTTGTGATTGTGAGATTGTGAGAACTTATGTATCTTGTGAGAACTTATGTGATTGTGAGAACTTATGTCATGTTTGATAGAAACTTATGTATCTTGTGATTGTGAGATTGTGAGAACTTATGTATCTTGTGGGATGTTTTATTACTTTGGCTTCTTTCTAACCCTGCTATGGATGTGCTATGCCTTCTTTCTATATTAGTGATTGTGAGAAATTATGTCATGTTTGATAGAAAGCTTTGCTTGTTCACCTAGGCTCTACTGGAGTTCTAGAAAAAACCCACCATCATTCTCTCTGGGAGGATTTATTGTCCTATGCTGGTCTTATACTTGACAATTTTCTGCTCCCTCAGTTTATTCTCAACAAGTTTCTGAATTGAAACAACTTTCACGCCTCGAATTACATCAGAATAGATTTGTGGGTTCAATTCCAGATTCTATCTCTAATCTTCAATCACTCTCTTACCTTGATCTCCATGGGAACTTGCTGAATGGTTCAATACCGAAATCCTTAGGGGATTTAATAGGACTGTTTTCATTAGATCTCTCCAACAATCTCCTAAGTGGTTCTATCCCTAGGCCTGTGATAGCAAATATGAAGAATTTGCAGTTATATCTCAATCTATCAAATAATCTTTTAACGGGTTCTATTCCAGATGAGATTGGGGGATTGGAAATGATTCAAGCTATTGATCTGTCAAACAATAATCTTTCAGGAAGTATTCCTTCAGCTATCAAAGGTTGCAGGAATCTGCATTCACTTGATTTCTCAGTAAACAGGCTTTCAGGTCAACTACCAGCTAGCATTTTCCCTCAGCTTGACTTGCTTACAAGCTTAAATTTATCAAACAATAAGTTAACTGGTTCAATTCCCCAAAGCTTAGCTGCCCTTACTAGTCTAAGGCAGCTTGATCTCTCTTTCAATCAGTTTGAAGGTCGAGTACCAGATGGAGGTGTGTTTAGATACTTGAATCATTCTAGTTTGCAAGGAAATCCTTCTCTTTGTGGCTCAAAACAAGATATCCCCCTAAAATGAAGAAAACGAATAAAAGCAAAATAAATAACACTTCCAACACTATCCATATACAAACTCCTGCCCCTCTGCTGCTGAAACTTCTTCATATTTTAACGGTCCAAATAGCTATGTTACATGCAATATTCTAGCAATTACAAACCAATATCACCTACTTTACAAAAAAATCGACACATTTCTTGCAAGCTCCACTCTATTTGATGGGGCTTCTTCCTATACCTATGAATTCCATTGAACTACAAATCATATCACAATACAATTCACATACATCAGCATAAATGAAAGTTACTACAAGAACTGCATAAATGAAAGTTACTACAAGAACTGCATAAATGAAAGTTACTACAAGAAGCCATAGAATTAAAACTTACAAACTTCACAATACAATTCACATACATCAGCAGCTACAAGACAATCAGTCTTAACACAATCAGTCTTAACACAATCAGTCTTAATACATAAAATGTAGTAATACATCAGCAGCTACAAGACAATCAGCAACAGTTGTGGATGAACCTGAGCAACATGTACAAGCAAATAAATTGTTTGTTAAAAGTTAAAAACAAAGTAAATAAAGCACTGTTAAAGATTGATACACAAAAATGCATAAGATCATACGTACATTAATCATGAGATATGACTTTGTGCTATCAAGTTTCATAAACTTATATAGGGTTAAAACTGAATATCAACGAAAATGGTACCTTTGCAAGTTAACTTTACAACTAGTTCTATAATGCCCGAGTTAACCACATCTGCTACATATGCGTTTCTTCCTTTCTTTCTTTTCTTGTGCCTGTTCTAAACCTGACTGGATTCTAGTAGCATTGGTGGACGAACTTTAGTCCTTGCAGGTCTATCAGGATCACGAACTGTTATCTGAGGAATGTTCTCTATTGTATGTGAAATGGGTGCGGAAGGTTAAGGAATATCCATAATTTGATCTTGAGTTTCTCCAACTTCTTCTTCAAGTGATTCCATGAAATTTGTTCATCTAGATTTTGCATCTTCTCTTCTGAAGCAAATGCAAGCTCGAGCGCATTATTGAATTTTGCTCTTAAGGCCCAAGATTTCAATAAATTAATCTTCTCTTCACAGCGTGTGATGTTTCTTCCAAATACAATATTGCCAACCCCAATGTTACGATGCCTTGCATGTATGGTCCAACGGTGTAGGATGTAGTGGTCGGGTAATGAATCCATTTGCCTAGCCATCATTAGCGATAATATATGTCTACATACAACACCATTAGTTTCAAACAAAGCACAAGTGCAACAGAACTGGATCTGACTGGATTGTTCATAAGTAACCACCTCCCATTTTCCTTTATTTGTAAACTTACAGACCTTGTATTCAACAATGTCCCCATCTTTTCTCAATTCTTCACAGAACTCTGTACCAAATCCTTTGAATTCAGTATGGAACACATCAAACATATTGCGTGTATACATTTCTCCAGCTTGGATCTCAATTGGATGTCCAAGGAGCATAACCGGCTTTGTGTTCAGACTCTTAAAATCTTCATGGGCTTCACTTAAGCGATGATGAGTTACTGCTTTTTCATTTTGTGTCACAAACTCGTGTAACTGAGTCTGTGAGTTAACATACCCATCAAAAAATGCATTAATACTTTCACTCCTTTGGCTCGATCTCATTCCAGCAAAAAAAGTGTCCTTCAAATAACACGACACCCAGTGTTATCTGCATTTGTAAACTGTTTGCAACCATCCCTCCCCTTCTTCATTTATATCAAACTTCTCTTTCATCTCGTTTGCAACCATCCCTCCCCTTCTTCATTTATATCAAACTTCTCTTTCATCTCAACCCAATATCCTTCACATTGTTCAATTGAAGAACTATTGCACCACAAGCCCCAATACCTTTGAAACTGTTCACCATAACGAGATACCAAAGTAGGCAAATGATCAATAATATGCTTTTGCATGTGCCAATAGCAATAACGATGTCTTGTCGTTGGAAACACTGAGTGAATAGCATTACACATTGCTCTATCCTGATCTGTTATAATAGCACCTGGTTCAATGTCGTGCATGCATTTCAGCCATTCTTCAAATAACCAAACAAAGGTATCTTCCTATTCATCGGCTAATAATGCACAACCAAGTAAAGTGGACTGCCTATGGTGATTTACACCAGTAAATGGAGCAAATGGAAGACTGAACTTATTAGTTCTGTATGTCACATCAAACACAATAACATCACTGAATTGCAAATAAGATGCTCTTGATCTTCCGTCGGCCCAGAATACACTCCTCATTTGTCCACTACTGTCTACTTCTATTGCAAAATAAAATTCTGGATCATTCGCTGTCATACTCTGAAAATGTCGAATGATAGATATGCATTCATGACCAATATTGTTGACTATTTGGGTTCTGATATGATCAATGCACTGTTGTGATGTCATAAGTTCACCGTCTCTTCCATTGGTTGCATTGATAACGCGAGAAATAGTGGAAGGAGGCATACCTTCTTCTCGCAGACTATCAATAAGTTTTTTACATCTTTGAGTTTTATGAAATTGTTGATGTGATCTGTGCATTTTTGCTTTGTCTGGACTACTCAACACATGATTTGTATGTTCTTCAACAAACCCCGTGAGTTCTGTAAATTCTAACATTTACTGTTAAATTTTGAAACATTTCACGAAGAGGGATCTCTATCTTGCCACTATTAGATTTATAGCCCTCCTTATCACAAACAAACTTTCTGTCTACCACTTCTCTAGTCTTGCGAGAGTAATTCACACTGCTCTTCCTTATTCCAAAACCCATCAACAATGCAAAAGAGTTATAATAGTTATAAGCTTCTTCATGACTATTAAACTTCATTCCTAGTACTGGTTTAGGAGCATTTACAGAATTGGCCGCAGTTTCAATTCCAATAACACTTGATTCTCCCATTCCGAACTCTACACTATTTGAATTTGTTTCCTCCATTCCAAACTCCTAAAGAAGAAAAAACATTAATAATGACCCATCGTCAATTATTTGGGAACAAAAAAAACGATTAATTAATGACAATAGATATTCGATACTTTATACAGATCACAAATCTCTACTCGTGAGCTCCTCTCTCGAGGAAACAAAGCATTCAAACAACACAAGTTCAATAAACTCAAAGATCACATAAACAATGCACAGATCACAAATCCCAGTTAAATTTTTAATCACATCAACATTAGCAAAAATGCTTTGTCTGGACTACATCAACAAAGCATTCATACACACAATACAATCTGTATATAAGATTTTTACTAAATTTAACAGTAAATGTTAGAATTTACAGAACAATTACAGTAAGAAGAAAGGAGGGCGTCGAGAGAGGAGAATTTTGAAATTTTACCTGCTCAAGAGAGATCGAAAGGGGGGGAGTCGGGGTTGGCCTCACGGAGGATGAAACGTTTGCGACGGCCGGTCGTTTTGAGTTTCTCAGTCCGAGCGGCGGCGGTGGGGTTGGCGCTGGAGCGAAATCTGCGTGTCGATGTTGGTGGGGAGAGATCTGCGGGTTCGGATTTTTCGAAGTTGGGGGGGGTTTCTGGGGAGAGGCGGAGAGAGGGATTTGAGAGCCGCGTTGGGGTTGGCGGCGCTTGGAGCGGGATGACCTGAGCGAAATCGAAAGGGAGAGGCGGGAGATGGAGGGATTTGTGGAGAGGCGGTGGGGTTGGCGCTGAGCGAGTGGCCTGAGCGAAATGCGATTGAAGTCAGGCGGGAGGGGGCGAGATTTTGGGCGGGTCGGATTCGAAAGGGCGTGAGCGATAGCCTGCCAGCGAAAGTCGATGAAGTTCTTGGGGAGCTGGGTTCTACAGCTGTAGAATCGACAGGGTTTTTTTCAAAGTTAACCCCCATGCAACGTTACTTCTTCCCCTACGCTGGCAAGCTCATGGAGTTTCTCATATATATATATATATATATATATATATTA